CATGTGCCAATCCATCTCCTTGGAGGGCTTCCTCTTCTTTGCTGACCCTCCACTTAAAAGAGCATAATACTTAAGGCAGGCTTTTTTACAAGTTCATTATTCAGTTTTAAGAAGACTTGCGGGGATACTTTAGGTTTAAGTTTAAAGATTACTTTAGGGAGATGGTTTCAGGGGTTCATCCACCCTCCATGACTCTAGAAAATCTTGTTAAGTGCCAACAAGTCAGTTTTGACCCATAGCAACCCTGTAGAGAGTTTCCGAGAAGCAGCTGGTGAGCTAGAACTGCTGACCTTGCAGTTCAAAATATCTTTGCAGTCTAGCACATTAACCTAGAGCACCACACCAAAATCTAGAGCCCATGAAAATGTGAAATTCTGTTCTGCATTTCTCCCCTTTTGAACAGGATTCCTCTATGGAGACTTTCATCAAAATGTTCAGTAATAGTAGCCAGGCACCATTCAGTTCCTCAGGTCTGATGGCAAAGAAGGCAGTTGTTCATAAAGACAATTAGCCATACATTCTATATCCTCCTCCTATTCCTGACTCTCCTTCCATGGCTCCAGGTGAACAGACACCAGCTGGGGTGCTTTGGATACCCCCTTAGTCGGGTTTTAAAGGTATTTTAAAGATAGTGGCACAGTGGGTTATGTGGGCTGCTAACCGAAAGGCCAGGTGGTTGACACTCACCTGTCATTCCACAGGAGAAAGATGAGCCTATCTGCTCCTGTAAGGAGCTCAGGTAGCGCAGTGGTTAAGAATCTGGTTGCTACCTTCAAAGTCGGCAGTTCGAAACTACTGTTCCATGGGAGAAAGATGAGGCTTTCTGCTCCTGTAAAGATTTACAGCCTCAGAAACCCTGTGCAGGGTCGCTATGAGGCATATAACCACCATCACCACCACCGCCACCAACTGGCTCCAGTAAAGATTTAGTCTGGAAAACCGTATGCAGCACTCCGGTGTCTTCCAGGACCACTCTGAGTCAGGATGGACTCCACAGCACTGGGTAATGTTGTTGTTAGCTGCTATGGAGTCAACTCCAACTCATGGAGACCCCACATGTGCAGAGCAGAATTGCTCCATTGGGTTTTCAGGGCTTTGACCTGTCAGAAGATCTTCAGGCTTTTGTTCTAAAGCACCTCTGGGTGGATTGGAACCTTTTAGCTCATCATCAAGCGCTTAACCATTTGAGCCAACAGAAGACCTTTTTCCCGAAGCCATCCTCAAATTGCTTGTCAGAGGAACGGCTATCACCAGAACAATTTGGACACATGTGAAAGCTGGGTAGGAAGGTGGGAAAAGAGCTCCTTGACTCTGTGACACCCTCAAATCCCAGCCCACCAAGCACAGTGGCAGATGGGAACACTATGCGCAGTGCATCCAGGTTAGGGACCATTGGAACTCACCCCTCAGACCAATCCTGCCTCAAGGAGGTCTGAGTTGGTCGGGCCACACCCTGCTTGTTCTCCTAGCCAAGGAACTGCTTGTCTCCCAAGACAGGACCTAGGAGTTGCAGCCTCAGCCCTCCCCTTCACCTCTTTGCAGCACACAGTGGTAAGTCAAGCCCAATGGTTTAGCAGAGCTAGTTTTGGGTGCTCTGTCTAGAAGGGGTCAAGGGGGCGGAAGGTAGTGGTGTTAGCAATCACTGACAGTGGGTCCCACTCATTCCCCACTCTCTTTTACAACTTTGAAATCGGTATGCAAATTTATGCAAGACAAGATGCAAAGCAGAGCTGGGAGCCAGAAGTCCCATTGGTTTTTTCCCCCTTTTTTGGAGCTGCAGTGAATCACTGTAAATCATTGCTGCTCTCATCCCCCCACTTTATTCTCCACCAACTGCAGATGCAAAGCCTCCCCACTTGGGGACTTTGAATGACTGCACATTTCTATAGCACCTTTATATGTGCAGCAGGCTAGACAGCCACTCCAGCGGCTCCGCCCCTCGGCATAATCCCCTGCATTGTACAAGGCAGAGACTGAGGCAGGGGAGATGCTGAGGGAAGCAGTCCAGCCTGGCCTGGGGCAAGCAAAGGCACTGAATTCTGAAAGGGCCGGTCCTGGCCCATGTGCTCTCTCCTCCTCCTGGACATTTCTAGCTGCTTCTGCCCACTCCACCACCAAACACACTCACACTTTTAAAATCCAAACATTCCACTGACCTCAGACAGATCTCAGGGTACCCCGACCCCCACCCCAGTCCCATTATTCTCTCAGGCTTACCTACCCCTACCCCCAGTCTGACTTCTCAGCTTCTTTGAGTTAGCCAAACCCCAGTCCTGTCACCCCATGAGATCCAGGCTCTCAATTCCACCCACTTCTTCCACCACTGATGTGACCACCCCCAACCCCTGCATCCCTGCCATCCCCAGGAAGCCAGCAATACAGCCCCCAGAGTCCTGGGAACAAAGACAAAAGAGCTAGCAGCAAAGCCGGAACTGCTGGGTTTTGCTGCCTGGAAATAAGAGAGTATGTTTAAAATTCTCAAAAGCAACCTGCTCAAAGGGGAATGAAGGCTGGGGAGGTTTGGAAGTGGGGGGGTGGGGGGGAGACTCCTTTAGAGTGGTAGAGAGCGGATGTGCTTGGAGAGTGGGAGGAATATTCAGTTCAAGTTCTCCGTGGGTCCATGATGTGTGTGCAGCCCCCCAACTAAGACCCATGCCACAAAGTATCTCCCATCCCATGCCAACCCAAGACCCTCTCCAGCATGGAAGGCTGCCTCTGCCCTTGTTCCTCCCTCTCTTGCTAGGCTTCTCCCTACAATGTCCCCAGGAACCTCTGCCCTTGACCACTTTCCTTTCCCCCACCTCCCTCCTACCAAAACCAAGTCCTTGGTGCCCCTCTTCCAAGTCTAAGCATTGGGAAGAGAAGGCTGAGGAAGCAACTGTGACAAGCTGCCTTAAAGGAGTTCCATACCCCAGGCAGAGAGGCATTCTTCCCTTTGTCCCTGGGAGCCCCAGACACCTCCCTCCTCCACCCCTGCCTCAGGGTCCAGTGAATGTGGAGGATTTCCCCATATCTGTTCCCTAGCTGCTGTTGGACTTAGGGAAGTCTGAGAGTTGGTTTTCAGGCAGAAAGTGAATCAAGCGTGGGGAGAAAATTAAATATGTGTATAAGGAGCTCTGGTAGCGTAGTGGTTACGAATCGGGCTGCGAACCTTAAGGTCAGCGGTTTGAAACTACCAGCTGCTCCGCGGGAGAAAGATGA